ACAATTCGCATTACTGTTTTTGAGAAAGCAATAAAAGTAACTGTCGAGAATGATTTCGACGATGAGCTACTCCCTTCATTCTTAGGTGGAAGTGGTGGTGGTTGTGAATGAGCTTCGGCTTCTTCATAATTCATTTGTTGCGATAAATGATCAAATTTTTTGAAAGCTAATGTAATGTAATCTGCTAAATCGTTCAATACAGCAGCAGGAGCTCCTTTCACATTCAGGTCGATTTTACTAACAAGATCCAATATTGATTCTTGTAAAGGGGTCGGATAATCTTGATCAGGTCGATAAGATGGGCTTTTAGAGTAAACAAGAATTCCACGAGCAACTTTTAATAATCTCTTAGTTTCATCGAGTTTAAAGTTTGTGCTTATAAATTTGTAAAGATCAGTAAAGCTCGATATATATGCGGTTAGCGTATCCTGGGAAAATCGAGATACATTTTGATCATTGGGCGTTGCTGTATCCGTGGGTATAGTTCCAGTGCTCCCAGGGAGATGAGTATTATCAAAACCTGTAATTATTCCCAAACCAATTTTTTCCCACATTATCCATGTAGTTTGCCATAGTGGGGAAATCTTTTCACTTAAGCTTTGATCCGAATCATTAGGAAATTGGATCATTGTGTGTAAAGCTTTGATTGATGCAATTGCCACTTCATGACTTGAATGTAAACAAGAATCCCGTAAATGTGATAACAAAAGATCCCAAGCTTGTGGAAAATTCTCGAGGTTCACCAAAATGGATAAAAAATTTTTAAAAATTCCAGAGACTCCATTCAATACCAAAACTTTGGTCTCATCCCATTGTTTGTCCACAGTGTTCCGCGAGTGATGTACCATAAAGCCACGAGATTCTTGCTGCAAGTTAATCTTTTCCATTTCTGTTCCATGCTGTTGCATAGCTTTCAAAGCTCTGGAGGAAGCGAGATTTACAGAGTCTAACAGAGGAAACAATACTTTCCAAATGCAAGTATTCCACGTGTTGATTCCCAATACAGCACCATTCATATCAATTGTACGGAATAATGTCTGATTTGCACCATTGCGCACCTCAGGTCGAGGATCCGAACATATTTTCGACAGTTGCAGCAATAATAATAACCATAATGCATTTGTTGTCCGTACAGTCAAAGTAGATCCAATCATTTGATCAATTTCTTCATCAATATTTGGAGTATCCTCATGCTTAGATGCCTGCGAATTATTCTTTTCTAGTTCTGCACGTTTAGTTTGAATGAAATCAGATACATTCCATAGAAGACCAACAGCCGTCAAACTAATGTTCAAGTCATCCATTTGCAATCCAAATGCACCCAAAGTATCGATGCATTGGCGTAAGCATTCTGGAGACAATAATGCCAGAAAATCTGTACATATAAGTTGCAAGCAAGGAAAGGCTACACGGACTAATCC